ATCAATTTTCTTACGAATTGATATTTTTATATCTCGGTGTAATTTGTATAAAATACGATCGACGCGATTATCTTTATAGGTTAGGATAGAAAAAAAAATGGGAATGGTTTGAATGGAAATCGGTGCAGGATTATTCGGGGTTCGGTACGTACAACGAAACAACCAGGAAAGTTCATTTTATCACGAAAAATATAGACAGGTATACACAATACGTGTCATTTCCGATCCGTTTCACCTGTACGTGTTTACGATCCGGCGTGACTTTGCGGGTGGTTGAACCTAGAAGCAAGAATCATCTTATATATATGAAAAAAAAAAACATGAATCAGAGGTAGAAAAAAGAAAGAAAGAAAGAAACAGTGTTCTCTTTCGTTCCAAAAAGTTCTCTTCGTACGAACGCACGTTCCTCTATAAAGATCGCTCTAGTTACCATATAAAGAGCACAAAGCAGCAGACAGAAAGACTCGTTCAAAGGGTTAACCGTTCCACTTTAATTCTGAAAAGGCCTCAAAGCTTACGTCCTTTATTTCTCCCGGAGACTTTTTAAAACTGACGAAAATCCAGCTTATACCATGTTTCTCTGAAAATGATACCAGGAACGATTAACACGTTCACTGCCATCGACCCAGCGTGTATGCGGTACAGAATGTATCGCACGGCGTGCTGTCGATTTTTCGGTGGCAGCGAACGTGTTAATGGTCTGCTAAATCTCGATCGATTCAAACCGTTCGAACTATTGAAAATTTGAACTCAGTCAATGTTATTAAAGAAAGCACCATTTGAATTCAGCCAATCAAATTCGAGATATTCGAATTTTAAGGTTAGCCAATGAAATTCGAAATATTGAGAATTAACCAATGAAATTCGAAATATTGAAAATTTGAATTCAGCCAATGCCATTAAAGAAAGCGCCATTTGAATTCAGCCAATCAAATTCGAGATGTTCGAAGTTTAGCCAATGAAATTCAAAACATTGAGAATGAACCTGTTGGATTATTACTAATAATAATGCGTCAGCCAGTAAGCAAAAATGAATTGTGTTATATATATGAGAAACACTGCTAGTGAAAGAAACGTAATAGACCGATGTATTCTTGGTCTCTTTCCTTAAATGCGCAACAGAATTTCAGTCGTGCCCTTACGGTTTTTTGTTTCCTTTCACTTCGACTATGAAATTCGAACAGAAAAGACGTCCGTCCGCGCCATACAAATAAAAACACATTTAAGAAAATTTACAGTGAACGCTATTCATTAGACCCATTATCCAATAGAACCAATGAAATTTGAATTCAGCCAATGCCATTAAAGAAAGCACCATTTGATTTCAGCCAATCAAATTCGAGGTATTCGAAGTTTAGCCAATAAAATTCAAAATATTGAAAATTAACCAATGAAATTCAGAATATTAAGAATGAACCAATGAAAACAACGAAACATTGAAAATTCGAATTCAGCCAATGCCATTGAAGTAAGCACCATTTCAATTCAGCCAATCAAATTCTAAATATTCCAATTCTAAAACATTCTTAGCCTCCTAAAAGCGCGCCAAATTTCAAATCATAAGCGCCGAGCGAAAGACCCGATTCCCGAAGCAGCCTCTTCTAGCGTCCAAGCACAGCTGTGACTACCATTAATACATCTATCTATCTCTCTTTTTATCACTTAAAACCTGATTCTTTTTTTCTACAACAATCGATACTTCAAAGTATAAAATTTTCCAAACTCTACAAAATCAATTCAAACATACTCTAACACAAGCCAGGATCTCTTAATCTCGTCCAAACAAACGCCTCTGACATTCCTTCACCGATACCCATTCGCACCGATCCAAATTGTCCAATCTCTCTACCCTCCTCCCACCCAGGTGTACAGTTAATTGTCCATCGTGAGAAGAATCGTGGCAGAGTGTCCTTGGAACGGACGGCACAACGAAACAGGTACCGTTCGTTACTTCCGGGCCAGAGTCGATGGTCTTGACGAACGAACGGCGAAGAGAGGCGCGGGCCGGGAAAGGCCGTTTACACGGTTCCCCGTTCACAGGGGCAGTTTGTTATTCGACGAAGGAGCTATCGGAAATACCTGTTGGCAGTCTGGTGAATGAGTGGGAGGATTATGTCTATATCGTACAAGTTGCCGTGATCGGTGGTAGCTCGCGATCAGGATGCACCGCATTTCCATAGATAACCCGTAAGCTCGAGACCAGCCGCCTCGTTCCTTCGCGATCGTGATTCGCCTATTTCGCGTGTGATCGATAGTGTGTTAGCTGCTCGCGAGAGAAGTAGAGAGAGAGGAGCTTTTTGCTCAAACGAATCGAGGTACAGAAGAGTTCTTTCTTTTTTTTTCCCCCGACATCTCGCTTTGTGCTCGGAGTAATTGGTGCAT